ATTGACAAAATAAGTTTTAGGAGAATGTAGATAAGACTTTCAGATAAGGAAACTTGGTGGTGGAATGATGAGGTTCAAAAGGCTATTAGCGAAAAACAATCATGTTACCTAACTTAGCAAGGGAAGATAAATGATCAGAATTTAGAAGAATATGGAAATGCCAAGAGGACCACTAAGTAAATAGTAAGGCTAAGCTTAAGGCCTATGATGATCTATACAATAAATTGGGGACGAGAAGGTGGAAAAGATTTCTTCAATCTAGCAAAAATGAGAGAGACAAGTGTAGATGCCTAGATCATGTGAAATGCATTAAGAGTGAGTATCAAAGGGTATTGTTGAAGGATGACGAAGACAATGAAAGGTGAATAATCTATTTTCAGAAATTGTTAAGTGACGACTCCTCTGGAGCTTAGCATTAGGAGGTACCATTAACATAAATGAGGTCGGAAACTAAGATATCTAAAGTGAAAGACGCTTTGAGAAAGACAAAGATATGAAAGGCTTTTGGACCAAATGGTATCAATAGAGATTTGGATGTGGCTGAGAGATTAACATATTCTGGTTGACAAGATTCTGGGGACAAAGAAAATGCTAAATGAATTAAGGAAAGTTCTGTGGTACTTATGTACAAGAATAAAGGAGACATACAAAGTTGAACAAACTCTCCAGGGAACAAACTTATGAGCCACACTATGAACTGTGGGAGAGTGATTGAACAATGACTAAGATATGCAACGAGTGTATCAGAGAATCAATATGGATTTACTCCAGGTAGGTCAATCATTGAGGCTATTTTCCTATGTAGGCAATTGATTGAGAAGTTTGGGGAGAAGAGAAAAGACCATCTGGGGCACAGAGAAAAGACCTCCACATGGTCTTTATTGATTTAGAGATAGGGTGGTGTGTGTTGGAAAAGACATGAGTCTCAAAAGGATACATTGACATGGTTAGGGATATTTATGAGGGAGCGCTAACCAATGTGAGGACAACTAGTGGACAAAATAGAGTTTTAGTGACAATAGGCTTGCAACAGGGGTCAGTGTTGAGTCCATATCTTTTTGCTTTGGTTATGGATGAGTTAAGTAGGCATCTACGAGATAGTTCCTGTGGTGTATGTTGTTTGTGGATGATATAATTTTGATTCATGAGATTAGAGATCGTAGGCATGCTTTAGAATTTAAAGGTTTGAACATTAGTCGAACTAGGATAGAATATATGAAATGCAAGTTTAGTAATACTAGGAGTAGAAACGAGGGATTCGTTAGAAAGATTGATGCCAAGAAGTACCTAAAAAATATTATTTTTGATATCTTGGGTTGATAGTCTATGAGAAAAAAGAGATAAGGGAAGATGCTACTAATAGAATTAGAGCTACGTGGACGAAGTAAAGATTTTCTTCTTGAACCTTATGTGATCGTCGCATGCCAATGAAACTGTAGGTGAAGTTATATAAGATGGTTGTATGATCAAACATATTTTATGGTATAGAATGTTGGTCAGTCAGGAAACAACATATCATAGAATCAGTGTGTAGTTGAGATCGATGAGTGGCAAGATGATGATAGAATTTGGAATGAATGCACCCAAGGGAACTTAAGGGTAGCTGCAATAAGTGATAAAATGAAGGAAATTACACTTGGTGGTCTGGCCATGTGTAACGTTGACCTAGAAAAACACCTGTTAGGAGCGGTGATTGGTTCAAGTAGAAGGTTTTGAAAGGGCAAGGGGAGGGCCTTAAAGAAAATGGATGGAAGTAGTATGAAAAGATATGGTGGTTTATGGTCTAACTGAGGGTGTGTCCTTGATAGAGCAGAAGGACAGAACAGGATTCGGTAGCTGAACCCAATAAGGCTTGGATGATGATGATGATTAATATTTTCTTAGGTCCTTCCTAAATTCGCAACCCATTAACCTTTATTTTAATTTTAATTTAATTTATTTTTTAATATTTTTCTGGATCACTGATTCAGAATGATCCAAATTGCCAATCCAGCGATCCGACCTGGATCTGTGGGGTGAATGATCCCACCCCACTGATTTGGGTTTTGAAAAAGTGCTTTGAACATAAATAGAAACACATTTATACCTGCATGCGTGTGCACTAGTGATTTAAAAATTGGACTCAGACTCTGACTCGCTCAAGTTTCTCAGACCCAGTAGGGTGTTAGGTACGGATGATTCACCCTGAGAAATTGGACGACTCTAACTTGAGTCCCTAAACCTTATGTATTATTAATATTATATTGGAGACTTGGCAGAGTCAGGCAATCGGACTCAGTGGAGTTGGCATCTGACTCAGGCTAGAGACCTTTGCAACTCCAAGCGGAAACCCAAGTATCTAATCTTTGGTGTTCGCACATTAATGGAGGGCTTACAAGTTGGAGTATCAGTTTAGTAGGGCATTCAAAATTAGATTATTGCTTTTGTCAATGGAACTCAAACTTGAAGTGCATTCTTCTTTGTGGTTTCCTCAAACAATATTCTTCTTTATAGTTCTTGTGTTCCAATCATTTTCTCAAGGCTATTCTTGTTCAATTCTTATGTGAAAAATTACCTTTCCTTGTGCGATTTACCTTATGCTACACCAAGAAAAAACCTTATGGACAAATCTTACCCGCCTGAGGGATACTATTTTATTGTAAATCTTTTTATCAATTCCCTATGATAAAACTATATATCACCTTTGCTGTCTTTGAGTTTCTTTCCACATCTGACATTTTTCAAAAAATCACCGAGGAGATAGCTCAGTTGTAGCACTGTGAAAGTCAGCACGAGAGAGACACCTTAACTCGTGAAGTGCTTCATTTATGAATATAAGGAACTGTACTGCAATGAGATCAGAGAGCCACCGTTGCCTAAGAATCTAAATGTTTTTCCTAAGAATTTAAATACTTCTCCCGTATCTCATTTTCAGCATTGGATTCCTTCATTGCGTAACTTCTATCTTCTAGGAGGTTAGGATTCCCTATTCCAGTGACTAGTTTCTGTAGAACTCAACTTAAAACACTTGTTCATGAGGTCTTCCATGACATATTCTCATGTATTGATTTTGGACCGAAGATGGGAACTAGGATTAGGTAAGGTTGGGATTCTAGGGATGGCATGGATGGGGTTTTGAATGACACAGGGTTTGTGGTTGACGTGGATAGAAATTAGGTAGCTAGGGTTTGGTTTGATGAGGATATAGGTAGAGCCATGGAAATATGGAGAACTTGAGTAGTTTGTTTTAGCATATAGGTCAGATGGATGACAGTGTGGGTGGTCTACGAAGAGCTAGGATTTGAAGAAATTGGCATGGGATGAAGATAGATGACTCTGGCATGGTGTTGTAGCCATAGTTGTTGGGAGTGGGAGTGAGATCAAGGGTGGGGGGTTATTGCTTGCCAGAAGCTCCCTAGTTAGGGATCGTCCATACAATAATACCAAAAAAACAAACGAATATTTGAAAATAAACAAACTTTAAAAAACAATTTAAAAAACAATTGAAGGATTTTGATGCTTAAGTTCTCTTTTAAGTTTTGTGTAGAATAAAAATGTTCCCTCCTCCCCAAGACATGAAATTATTTAAGAATGAAATAACTTGCAATGAATTTTCCAGGTATCACAAGGGAGCCAGCCGAAAGAGAGATCTGGCTCTTGAAAGCTTCAATAGAAAGGGTTCCCAAAAGAATGGGAATGCTTTGGGGATGGGTTTTGGCTTCAGAACCGTGGAACTGCATTCTGAGAGCAGGAGTGCCACCTTAGAAGGGAGACCTCAGTAACTGTAGTTGTAGCAAAAGAGGAAGTAGGTGGGCAAATGGGCCCTTAATGGAAGTGAGAGAGAAGCTAACCCTGTATGCCTTGAGTGCAGTAACTGTAGTTGTAGCAAAAGAGGAAGTAGGTGGGCGAATGGGCCCTTATTGGAAGTGAGAGAGAAGCTAACCCTGTATGCCTTGAGCGCCCCAAGCAGCTGTGGAATCAACACACACAAAGACGATAGAATGACTGAAACTCACATGAAGCAATGTTAGCTGTGCTTGCCATAGGCCCATGCATGTAATTATAATAGCTCTTGATTCTCATCCATGTAGACTACAAGTAGACCTGTTATTGACCAATACTCCAATTCTAAAGTATAAGTAAACCCAAACAAGTTTGTCTCCAAGCAAAATAGGGAAACTCCTGATAAAATGAAAATAACTTGAATTAGAATCAGGGAGGAGTTCGGCCTCTACTTAAAATTAAAGCACTAGTTAAACCTAAAATTTATCCATGGATTTGTTGCCATTCTGAAACACCCGAATTAGGAAAATCACTGCAATAGTAGTTGCAGCTCTAAGCTCTCAAAGAAATATTCAAAATGAGTTTTGGATATACCCAAACGAACATCTTGGGCAAAAAATTATGCCCTTTGTATGGAGTCTCCATTACATATCCTTCTTTATGATTACATTCGCCATAGGGAGTGACACAACTACGGATAAGTTAAGATTCTAGTCTCTTAGATGCCCCCTCTACATCTTTGTTGCTGTTCTTTACCATCCCCCCTACCTGCCCCTCTCCTATGCTTTTTCTTGTTTTTTTTTTGGTAGCATTGATTTCGATTGCCTAGTTTTGCCGCCATGTTTTTAATGATCCACCCAAACAATCAAAAGATGATGGATAATCAATCTGGTTTCAAGGTTATAGTATTCATTGGAAATTCCCAAATGAGTCTTCACCACATGACCATTGCTTGCATCTTCACCACATGACCATTGATTGCATATGGCTGCACAGGAATGTTGCAGTTTTAAGTGCTATGTAGTAATCATCCAAACATGCCCTTATGACATTATGTACTAGTCATTCTGTAATTTGATGTTTGGTTTGGATATTAATTAAGGACGTAAAGTTAAATTGTAACTCTCTGTAATGTTGTCTTTTTTTTCCCTATTAAATTGTGACTAATTGATGTTATATGCTTCCTGTTCACATGTGGAGTTTGTTTTTAACGTGGTTTTCTTGCATTTTGTGATCAGGAGACTCTCGGTTATATCGATATCAATCTAGCTGATGTTATAAGCAACAAAAGGATCAATGAGAAATATCATCTCATAGACTCAAAAAATGGAAAAATTCACATTGAACTGCAGTGGAGAACTGTACAACAAAAATAAAAACTGTAATTTAGCTTTAGTGTTTGGTGTATTGTACTTGCAAACTTTCTTGTTGGTAGCTGAACTTCATTGGCATAAGAATTTACAAGTTTTGTGTGCCGTTTGCAGATTGAAATAAGGCAGGTCATTTAATGTAAATAACCTTCAGGATTCCATTTGGATATGATTTGTTTATTACTTGCTTGCAGATTTATTTGTTCAATCTCATTTATGGTGCATATTACTGATCGCATATTTATTTCTCTTCCCTGTTTTTTGTCCGGGGCTATAGCTGCCAAGCGTATCCCTGTGATCAAGAGTTCAACTAGTTGTTATTTATTAGGCAGCTGTTTTTTAGCAATTCGAATAACTTGATTTAATAATTATCAACACCAGTTGTCTTTTTTTTTTTTTATTATTGACAAAATCTCAAGCATTTGTGATGTCTTTGTTCATGTTTGCATGGTAAAGAGCCACAGCAATATGCATAAAATGATTATGATCTCAAGTTTTGAGTGTGGCTGCTATTGTAGCATATGTTTTCTGTGGTGAGACGTGCTCCCAAAGAGCCTGGTGTACAAGATCATGCATTTGAAGTGAAGCTATTGTGCTTCTGCAGGAGAATAGTACACGTGTGCTTGTGTTTGACATTGGTTTTGTGGATTGGATTTTGACCTGTTATCATCCTTTTTATTATGTTGAATTGAGAGAGAGAGAGAGAGAGAGAGGTGTTGCCTTCATTCCTAGCCATCTTATTTGGCCTTAGTTATAACTATCCTCGACTAATAATATCCACTTGAGAGCATAGCCATCTCTAAATGGATTCTATATGCTAAGATTGAAGATCAAACTTTGCAAATACAGAGGCAAGGTTAAAAAAGAAACTAAAAACTTTGAATTTTCAGAACTGACTTGATCTTATGCTTCCACAACAAATCCTGAAGCACCAGATGTTCTTGTTGTCTTAAGGTATTGAATGAGGTTGACCTGGTTTTTCAAAGTGCAACCGAATCATTGATGAGTATAACTTGGGGATACAATCTTTTTGAACGGTGTTAGTAGGGTAGTGTCAGTGGAAATGAAAACATAAGGTGGTGTTTATAGTGTAGGGGTGCCACCACCGCGATCCCAGCCCCTTTCCATGTTATGGAATCTTCTCAAAGTTATGTATTTTTTATGGGGAACATGGTTACCAAAATGATTTTCATTCTTTGCTTGGTTGGTGTCAAGATTTGATTATGCATGGTGCAGATTCAATGAGTATCTTTGGAAAAAAAAATGGGTATTACATTTAGCCATGGTTAGGTGTCTGAACTGTCCTTTCAATTACATGTGAGCTATTGGCTATTGGAACGGTGGGTAATGCGCGGCAAAAAGCAGGATATGTGTGGGCGAGAGAGAGAGAGAGAGCTGCCTTAATCACTGTGAGAAGATGGGTCTTTGCTAGTGATGTTGCAGCAGCAAAAGGCATACCCAACGGTGATAATCTGAGCACCAAAAATATACGATTTTGGCCATCCGTGTGTGTGCGTTAAGCCACCCAAATTAAAAGCACCTGGGAGCCCCCAATGTCTCTCTTTTGGACCCCAAATGGCTGAGGAATATTTCCGATATAAACACCTGTTTGGGCATATGGATTTTGGAGCATAGATTTTTAATATCTTGAATATTACTAAAATCCACTGTTTGGTTTGTTCAATAGTTACGATATTAAAATTTTATAGAAATTAAAATAGTGGAAAATCATTTACTTTTTCATGATTTCATTTTCATACCAAAATTTATTTTTTTGAATTTCCAAGACTCGTTGATTTCACTCATTGGCCCTTCGACCTGAAACTTAGGTCACATTTGGTAATTATGGAAATATTTACCTGAAATATTTTCATGTGAAAATTATGTTACGTAAGTTTGGTATGTGACAAATACGAAAAACTATATCAAATTTTAGAGAGAGAAAATAGCTAAAATATTTTAACAAGAGAAACCATCTCAAAATTTAAGTTTTAGAGAGAGAGTATGTCAAATTTTTTTAAAGATTATATTAAATTTCAAAGAGAGATTACCTAAAATTTTGAGAGATAAACTGTCTCAAAATTTTTAGAGAGAAATTATATCAAATTTTAGAGAGAGAAAATGCTTAAAATACTTTAAAGAGAGAAACTAACTCAAATTTTTAGAGAGAAACTCTCCCTCCTTCCTGCTAACCCTAGCTGTCCATCTTCTCTCTCTTTGACATAGAAAGCGTCTCTCTCTCCACCATGCTCCACCACACTGTTGCTACCACTGCCTCTCACTCTCTTTTTTTTGACAGGTGCAAAGAACTTTATTAATTACGAAAGGTACATCACAACATAATAACTACAGAGGAAAAATAAAGATGCAGTCAACATTAGCCTCAAGTTTCGCTAAAGAGTCCGCCTTGTCATTGGCTTCCCTATAAACGTGATGGAAAGTAACCATCTGATAAATATCTACCAATTGAAGCAAATATTTCCTTAAACGCCAAGGAAGCCTTCTTTTCCCAAAGCACCGGTTAATCACATTCAACGAATCACCTTCCACCATCCAACCCTCATTTGCACACTGGGTCTTTAACAACTTAACACCATTCAAAACCGCTAACATCTCAGCACAATTTTCCGTAGCAGACCTACATGGACTTCAAAAAGAGAAAATCTCCTCACTCCTCCAATCCCTAACAACTCCACTAAAACCAGCTGGATCAGGGTTACCCAGAGAACTACCATTGAAATTCAACTTAACACACCCTTGAATAGGAGGTATCCATCTCCCAAGAGGTCTAGAGTTCAACGTAGGATGAAAAATCAATGACTGAAGATTAAAACAAATATCTGTTGTTTGAAGGTATTTTTTAACACTTGTATCCCCGGTGCGAATAAGGATAAAGCAGTTCGCGACCTAGGTCTGCAAGTATCAAAATGCATGTGGACTACGGAAGCCGTAGGTCAATAAGCCTTGATCCAGTAGTGAAATTTTCGATAGTCTCAGATTGGCCTAATAATGTTCAAAATCGTGCCTAAGAGTCTTCTAAGAATACCTGTCATGTTTCGGTGCAATCCGACGAGTTAAAGGTAGTGCAGATGCAGAAACAATTTTGGAAAATCGGCCTCTATCACCCTATCACCAGAGAGTCAAATGACTGTGAGACCATTTTCATTGGATCCGAAACGTCCGAAAACCTCTAGGGACCAATTTTTAGCATGATCGAATGTTTCTGGACCAAGTTATGGCCAAATTACCCAAAACGGGTAGGTCTCACGCTATTATCATGCACCCTCAGTGAACCAGCTTCCATTAATGGAAACTATGTTTTGGGTTTCGGGCTGAAGTTTGGTCTCTCACGTCCCAGGTCAGATCAAGGTCAAAATTTGGGAGCATAATTGTCTCGTCGACCCGAGCCGGGAGAAAAACTAGAGAGAAGATTGCGATTCAAGGCAAGATTGCAGATTTTCCCGCAGGAACGCGCCTCGATCGAATGGTCACATCACGACACTTGTGAGTCGGATTGGCCACAAACCAAATCCATTACAAGCACGAGGTCAGAGACATTGTATGAGCCGTACCTCATACATGATGGACGGTCAGATTCACTGTACAATAGAGTCGAAATTGCTACTATTTTTGGCCACCGAAAACTAAACTCCGGCCAAAATACCAAATTTGGAAAATAGTCATTCGGATACCAAATCGAGCCACGTTCTTTGCCAAACGCTCATGAAGTCTTGCTCGTCAAAATACAACTAAGAAATTGTAGAAAAGCACTGAGAAACGGGGCGTGATCTTGAATCAAAGATCGCACGTTTCTCATGATTTTAACGTCTCGTGATCATGGCCCAAAAGTATGATCCATGGCTCGAAATGAGTATCAAAACGGCCGTTTTCCCGAGCCGATCAAGAAAGTAATAATATTTTGATCTGATGAAGACTGGAAGGACCCCGAACGGATCTCGGAAGATAGCAAAGGTTGCATGGCCATGACAGGGACTTAATTGAAATTTCAGGATTGGTGGGTGAGGGGCAAGTCATTTTGCCCGTATTTTCTTAATTTTTTTTAATTCATTTAATTCATATTTTTGTACAATTAGGTTATGAATTGGACATCCACTCATGTATGGACTTAAAATCTATATAAGTATGTGAAGCTCACATGTAAAGGAGCCCACTTGATCAATAAAAAATTAGTTTTTTGCTTGAGTTTTGGAGGGGCAGTCTCAGAACTTGGAGAGAGAGAGAGGAGAGAGAAGATTTTAGGTGGTACCCTTAGCCATCCAGGTAACTTTCTCTCTCATCTCCTCTTTCTCTCTTCTTTCTCTCTCCTCTACTTCTTTCATTTCTCTCTACTTCTTTCCTTTCTCTCTTTGCTTATTTCCTCTTTCTCTCTCTTCTTATTTCCTCTTTCTCTCTCTTCTTTCTCTCTTCTCTCTCTCTATCTCGCATGGCAGGGTATACCGTTATGCACGATATTTCTCGCTCTTCTCTCTTCTCTCTTCTCTCTCTTTGTTTGGCATGGTGGGGTACACCTCCGTGCACGACATTTCTCTCCCTTCTCTCTTTCTGTCTGGCACAACGAGGTACACCACCGTGCTCGACATTTCTCTCCCTTCTCTCTCTATGTGAAACGACGGGGTATATCGTCGTGCACGATATTTCTCTCTCTTCCCTCTTCTCTCGCTCTGTTTGGCACGGTGGGGTACACCGTTGTGCATGAAATTTCTCTCCCTTCTCTCTTGCTGCCTAGCACGGTAGGGTACACCAATGTGCGTGACATTTCTCTCCTTTCTCTCTCTCTGTTTGGCACAACAGGGTATACCACCATGCACAATATTTCTCTCTCGTTATTTGGCACAGCAGGGTACACTGCCGTACACGACATTTCTCGCTCCTCTCTTCGTTCTTTCTCTCTCCCCTCTTCTTTCTCTCTCCTCTCCTCTTTCTCTCTTTTGCTTGCTTGACTGGATGGCAGGCTGAGCCTTTTGCCACCGTGCCAGTCTTGCCGCAGTGCAGTTTAGCCGTTGTGCCGATCTAACCGCCGTACCTGTCTAGTCTTCTAACCGCCATGTCCGTCTAGCTGCCACGCCAGACTAGCCGCCGTGCCAATTTTGTCGCTGTGCTAGTCTCACCGCCATGCCAGTCTAGCTGTTGTGCCAAACTTTCCTCTCTCTTTCTTTTCTCACTTCTCTTCTATTCTTC